CGGCCGGGAGGGACCCGGACCCTGCCCCGCGCGGCCGCCCACCCCGGGACTCGGGGAGTGATTCACGCATTGAAACCACGGTCCTCCCAGAGCCGCCACTCGATTCCTACGATTCTGTTTGCTCCCCGGGAAGCTGCCGTCGGAGCGGCAGTGTGGCCGGATGGCTGCCGTGCAAACCGCGGGGACACGGGCCGGGCGGCTGTGGCATCTGCGAAGCGGGGGTGGCAGTGGTGCTCACTTCCTGGGCTTATTCAGGAGCGGGTTTTGTTTTGTTTTGTTTTGTTTGCTCAGTGTCTGGCTGAAAGTAGGTGCTCAATTAACGGAGGCTAGCGGCGCTGTTATTATTAACAATAAGGGACACTATCCGGGCTCATGTCGCTGGCCTGTTACACTGTCCCCAGCCACTCCAGTATGGAGACAGAAAGAGGGACCAATTGGGAGATTCAGGGAATCGGAAACACGGCTTAAACAAGATCGGTGTAACCCCTCCCCCAACAGGGTATAATAAATGTAAATAATCAGCCAGGGCCTTGCCCCCCCCAAGCAGGAGATGCCATCTCCTTAGAATCTGGGTCTACTCTGTACCCCACCCCCACTCCACCTGTCCAGCAGAAGCTCCCCCCATTATCCAAGTTGGATATGGGGGTGAGGAGGGTCCCTGCAAAAAGAAGGAGACGTAGGCATGATCCAACACAGAGGTACTGCCAGTAACACCTTCCGCTGGGACACTCAAAGGGAGCGAGTGTGTGAGCGTCACAGACAAGCACACCCAGAAAAGGGGGGGACACTGAGCAGCAGCAGCGGTGGAGGCTCAGCCCCTGGCACGTGGGTCCACCGAACCACACCCCCACCCCTGCCCTAATTTGTAACATGCAGCTCCCTTGCCCGTTCCAAAGTAATAAAATCTTCCTGAAATGCTAGAACCGTGAGGCCCAGCGCTGACGAGGCGGCTGGGTTCCGGAGCCTGGCGATTGTTAAAACAACGCGGCAGCCCAGCCCTCGGCCGGCTGCTTCCCGGTTCCCAGACATCAGGTACACACAGGCGGGGAGCCCCAGAGCCCCCCCCGAGGGGGTCACCCCTCCTGAGCCAGCCAGAGCTCCACATCCACCAGGAGCGATCAGGGCCCTGCGTGCTTCCCACAGTCACGGCCACGATCACTGGGCCTGGCGGGCTGCAGGAGCAGCCACGGAAGGGAGCAAGGGGGGCATTGCAGTGGGAGTCTCACACACACTCACCGGGCCCACTTGCCGTTTGGGGCTGCCATGGCCCTGGGCACACTGTTCCAGCTCCCCAGAGGTGCCAGAGGGGGCCCGCCCCCGTTTCCCCGAATTCCAGACCATCACTCACCTTCCCCACGAGCTTGCCTTTCCGGTTCATGCACAGGTAGAATTCCGTCTCCTTGCCCTTGATCCGGACTTGACTACCGAAGGTGTCTGTCTCCACTAGGAGCTGGGCTTCGAAAGGCACAAGCAGAAAAAGATATGCTTTTTTACCAGGGCAAAGGCTTGGCCTAAAGACTCAGCAACATGCCCCCTGACCCGGTCCTGGACCCCCCATTTCACCCAAATCAGGGCTGGGAGAGGCCTCTGCCGGGTCCATTAGAGCACCCTGCCCTTCAGGCAGTGAGAGGGAAGCTGTCCCCACCTGTTCCCCACCCCCCAGCCTCTCTTTACAGCACCTGGGACCCAGATGGCTCCAGCCAGAGGGGAGTTCTGCCCCTTGTGGCTAAATACCAGGATGTCTTCTCCCATCATCCCC